GCAAGAGCGGAATGGTTGTTGGACTTACAATGGATCTGGTAGTGAACAAATTGAAAATGAATGAATAAAACATCTCTGATATCGTACAACATCCAAATGCCTCCAGAAAAACCATCAACTTCTACTGTTGGGATTTTCGAAAGCTCGAATCGATAATCGGAACGGTTTGCAAAGAGGGGTCGAAACAGTTTTGTGTTTAGGGAGTAAGGAGATTGAAAGATAGAGAATTGCACAGCGATTTATAGTGGTTCGACTTTCTCAACCAAAGTCTACGTCTACTACCTTAGCTCATCACCAAGGATTTCCAACAAATTCACTAATTTGTTCTTTCTTTTGAGGATACAGAGTAACCTTACAAACTCCCTAGTTTTTCCGGGCTAAACTAGAACCTTTCCCTAGCTTTTACATGGGATAAAGTGGTTCGACTTTCTCAACCAAAGTCTACGTCTACTACCTTAGCTCATCACCAAGGATTTTCCAACAAATTCACTAATTTGTTCTTTCTTTTGAGGATACAGAGTAACCTTACAAACTCCCTAGTTTTTCCGGGCTAAACTAGAACCTTTCCCTAGCTTTTACATGGGATAAACTAGAACCTTTCCCCTTTACAAAAGGATGAAAAATGTAAACAAGAAAACCTCTCTAAGGTAGGTGTTTACAAGATTGAGCTCACAAGAATAAAATATTTACAAGAGAAAGATGAAATAAGAATGAAAAACTCATCTCTTGTGTTTGATTGCTTGGATAGTTGTTCTCTTACTTCTTCAAGTGTCCTTAGCTTGTATTTATAGCTTGGAATATGTTTGAAGTCGTATATAACCGTTGGGGATGTTTTGGAGTCGTTTTAGGATGAGAATCCATTAATAAAACTGCTTGGAGAGTGGGGGGAATCGGTACCCCCTCATAGGGAATCGGTTCTCTAATTACAATCTAATTTCTACCGTTAGACAGGGGGAATCGGTACCCCCTAGGGGGGAATCGGTACCCCTGGGGGGGAATCTGTACCCCCTAGACATTCTGTTTTCTCGGAGCCAAAAACCTGCGGGGGGAATTTGTACCCCCTGGACAATCTGATTTTTCTTTGCTTTGAAACGGTTCGAAATACTATGTAAAATTGTTTTAAAAATAGTTTAAGTATAAAACACAATTTTACACTTTAGTCAGGATTAAAATGAACTTTGAAAGACTTGGAGTAATATTTTGATATTCGAATAATTATATTGAATATACTTAGAAAATATTTTGGAAAATCTTAAAATTCATTTAAATTAATTTGTTATATCGAAACATCAAAATATTTTCAACAATCTCCCCCTTTTTGATATAACAAAACATTTGAGTAATTTTAAGATTTTGAAATCAAATTTGAAATTACTCCCCCTTACTTTAACACTTCTCCTCTTTAACACCTTAACACTTCTCCCCCTTTTTGTTAAATCAAAAAGACTCTAATATTTGAAGTTCAAAATAACTTTGGAGAGTAAGTAGTAAATTTGACATTTTAAAAATCATTTGAAAAAAATCAAAGCTCCCCCTCAATAAATGCATTCCAAATAAAATTATGCTGTTAGGATCTTACACTTAAACAAAATTGAATTTCAACAAAGAATAACAAACATGTTAGTAGAACATGAAATTCAATACATCCAAGTCTAAAATACTTTATGCAATATCAATTATTGAAATTAAGTGCAAATGCATAAAGTTTTCCAAAAATGTTATGCATTTGAAAATTTTGATATCAATTGTTAGAGAGATATCATTTTCATTTAAACCACATGCATAAATATTTAAATTTAGGTCAAAATTTTAAAATTTATAAAATCAAAACATTTGAAAAGTTGATATCAATTGTTAGAGAGATATCATTTGCATTAAAACCAATTTTGACCAAAATTTTATTATGATGAACTAAAAATTATAAAAAATCATTAAAAATTTAAAATGTTCATCACAACCATTTTTTTAACATACATGAGATTAAAAACAATGCATAATCATTTAAAATCAAAACTCATGCATGCTTAAAATCAAATGAGCAACCAAATAACCAAAATTAAAAGCATTAAGCTTAGAGGTTACCCATTCCTTTTTCATGTGTGGCTAGAGCATCTTGAATATCATCATTTTCATCACTATTGCTCCCACACACCTACAAGAGACATTTAAGTAGATTTTGGTATCCAAATTACTTTGGATCCTTGGACGTTAGTTTCAATGCCCCTTGTTCCTTTCGGAACCCATACTTGCGTAATTCTAAAACGTTTTCCTTTATTCAAATGACAAGTATGTTCCTTATGACCATGATAATGACAATGTGAGCATATTGTCATTATTGAACTAAATGAATTATTTAAAATGATTTTTTTTTCTTTTGTTAAGCATTCAAGCTTAACTTTTAAATCAAAATTTTCTTTTTCAAAACTTTCAATTTTTATTTTTGAAAGCTCTAAATCCTTTTTCAAAATTTCATTTTGGCTTTCAAAATCTATTTTTGTTTTCAAAAGAAAATCATTTTCGATTTTAAATTTTGAAATCATTTTCTTATATTTGGAGTTCATGGTCTCAAACTCTGAATATAACCTATTAAAAACATCTTGTAACTCATCAAACGTATATGAATTAAATTCATTTGAGTTAGAAGATATCTCGGGCTCTTCACGAGCCATTAGAGACACCATCTTTGTTTGTTCTTCTTTCTTGTTTCCATGGATTTCCTCAAGCTCATTCCAAAGCTCCTTGGTACTTGAACATGAAGAAACTCCTTCATAGATTTCATGACCAAATGCACAAAACAACATGTGCATGGCCTTGGCATTAAGTTGAGCTTTCTTCCGTTCTTTGTCACTCCTCTTCTTCTCCTTATTCTTTGGAGAAGAGTAGCCATTCTCGATTATCTTCCATGCATCAAGATCATTGGATTGGATGAATACTTTCATTAATTTCTTCCAATGATGATAGTTGACTCCATTGAAGTATGGAGGTTTGTCGGTTGGTAGGGAGTCTTCCATGTGGAACAAGCCGGAGGTGGAAGCCATATTCTCGGTTGTGTCGGGAATTGGTAGAGTTTCTTCTAGGATCATCTCAAGGTGGTTAAACCTTCTTAACGAGTTAGGCTCTGATACCAATTATTAAGATTTTCGAAAGCTCGAATCGACAATCGGAACGGTTTGCAAAGAAGGTCGAAATGGTTTTGTGTTTAAGGAGTAAGGAGATTGAAAGATAGAGAATTGCACAGCGATTTATAATGGTTCGACTTTCTCAACCAAAGTCTACGTCCACTACCTTAGCTCCTCACCAAGGATTTTCTAACAAATTCACTAATTTGTTATTTCTTTTGAGGATAAAGAGTAACCTTACAAACTCCCTAGTTTTTCAGGGCTAAACTAGAACCTTTCCCTAGCTTTTACACGGGATAAGCTAGAATATTTTTCCTTTACAAAAGGATAAAAAATGTAAACAAGAAAACCTCTCTAAGGTAGGTGTTTACAAGATTGAGCTCACAAGAACAAAATATTTATAAGAGAAAGATGAAATAAGAATGAAAAACTCTTTTCTTGTGTTTGATTGCTTGAATAGTTGTTCTCTTACTTCTTCAAGTGTCCTTAGCTTGTATTTATAGCTTGGAATGTGTTTGAAGTCGTATATAGCCGTTGGGGATGTTTTGGAGCCGTTTGGGATGAGAATCCATTAATAAAATAGCTTGGAGCGTGGGGGGAATCGGTACCCCCTCATAGGGAATCGGTTCCCTAATTACAATCTGATTTCGACTGTTAGACAGGGGGAATCGGTACCCCTGGGGGGAATCTGTTCCCCCTGGGGGGGAAATCGGTACCCGTGGGGGGGAATCTGTACCCCATGGACATTCTGTTTTCTCGGAGCCAAAAACCTGCAGGGGAATCTGTACCCCCTAGACAATCTGATTTTTCTTGGCTTTGAAACGGTTTGAAATACTTTGTAAAATTGTTTTAAAAATAGTTTAAGTATAAAACACAATTTTACACTTTAGTAAGGATTAAAATGAACTTTGAAAGACTTGGAGTAATATTTTGATATTCGAATAATTATATCGAATATACTTAGAATTTTTTTTTGGAAAATCTTAAAATTCATTTAACTTAATTTGTTATATCGAAACATCAAAATGTTTTCAACATCTACTCTATAAGAGTTCAGAATTTTCAGTTGAGCAATAGCTTTATCAGCAGCATGACTGCTTATACGGGTTTCAACGAAGCCTACAACATCTGGTGAATGATCTCGCATATATTTTCGAGCAACGCGATTGAAATTTCGGTGGCCACAGCCTTGTGCATTCCACATAAATATGTTGAGATACATAAGTAAATAAAAATGTGAAGAGGAAAGGCAGAAGATCCCATTATTCCATCATGGCCTCGGGGCCTTTGCTAGTTGCAGGAGAAACTAGAGCTTCGGTTGGGATGCAGGGATTCTCTCCATCTATTAGCTTCACAGTGTGATGTTTGTTAGGGTCGAGATTCCCAGTCGAGTTCAATCGTGGAAAATTGGAGGAAGAAGCTCCATTAGCTGTTACGTGATCCTTGCATGGGGTTTTTAATTAATGCATGCAGTTTGGCAGGTTTACCTCCGAGGTGGGTTTGCTTCTCGGGGGCGTAAGGGACAACTGGGGCTTTTTTTGGATTTGCTGGGGCCTTATCCTTTGCTTTGTTTTTATCTGGAGGAATACTCTTTGGTTCAGTCAATGAGCTAATTTCGGGGTTTAAAGGTAATACTAAAGATGGCATCGTGGATTCCACTTTAATCACCCTAGATTTTGATCGATTTTCCTGATTATTAGGGACATCTTCAATAACGAGATTTGATTTTTCTATGATGTGGTTGGAATCATGGACTAATTGTTTTATATAATTAATATTCCTGGAATTACGTTTTTTTCCTTTCCACGAGCATCTATGGCCCGAAAGCTTTATCCGAAACTGAGTTTTCTATAGTCTGAGGTTGCGATAGAGGAATCTCGGTCATTGGTTGAACATTTCTCTGTACTGGTAGCTGCGGAAAAAGGTCTTTATGGTGACTGTAGATGCCATAATGGAAGCAATAGTGGGAAGCGATTCATACTCTATAATTTGGAGGCGACCATTGATGAGGAGTTTGGATACCAAAGGCCGATGAAGATTGAGGCTAACGACTAGGCGTGCAAAACGCCCCCTGCAACCATTATCCGTTTGAAAATCAATCTTTATCATTGAACCACCCTGGTTTCCAATAGCTTAAATGAAATTTCTTTTGTAAATGGTTACTGGAAGACCCGGTAATCGAATCCATGCCATGAGGCGGCTAGGATAATCTTGGTTCGACTGAAAGTCGATAGACCATTGCTCAACTGTTAAATAATGCCTGAAAATGGTCCAAGGTCCTTCTGTGAGCACCTTTAGGTAGTCACCATGATCACTGAACTTTACAAGAAAGTAATTGTTCTCAATATCAATAAGTTTGAGAGGGTAAGAAGGTTTACAGATACCGTATATGCGATTGTGCAGGGTATTATAACCCACTCTTCGTCCAAGAACTTTAACTACGAGCGTTAAATCCATGCTTTTAACGGCAAGAGATTGAACTCGTTCTGAAAAATATATGGTTGAAATACTGTTAGAGGAGCCAAGAGTGATATCCTCTTCGAGTAATTCGATATCATTATCTTCTAGATTAACGGTTTTAGAATCTGATTGAGCAACAGTGGACTTCGTCACAGCATCCTTGTAAGAGATAGCAGGTGAGGAGTCGTTGCACTCAATCAGAGAAACGAGACTATCTCTTGCCATGGAGGAAGGATCGGGCGGGTCTTCATCTCTTCGTCGTTGTTTTTTGGGAAGTTTGGGGTCGGCGCTAGAGGCTTAAGAGGGTTTAATGGGTTATTACTGAAAGTTTATTCATACATTTATTGATTTAATTTTATTAGTTAGATGATTTAATTATCCAAATGATATTAATTAAGTCATGAATGGTTAACATTTGATAAAAAAAAATTACGTGCAAATTAAAAAATTTAATATAATTATATATTTAATCCCTTTTACTTGCATATTTTATTAATTTAATTCAATAAATTCAATAAATGGTATAATAACAAGGAAGAGGAAATTGAACCTGGGAAGCTTGTGAAGCCAAGCACATGCCGAGACATTGAGATAAGACCATTAGTTGCAATATAATTGACAACCTATGATATATATCTTATATTTTAATGTTGAAAAATAAATAAAATTAAACTTAAATTCATAACCTTTTATGCATCATAAAAATATTTTTAAGTTAAACATAAGAGTAAAATATAATTTTTTATGTTAAATAAGAATAACATATATTTAATAAATTAAAATAAAAATAAAATATATATTATCAAGTTAAGATATGAATTTAAATGAAAATATATAAAATATTATACATTTAAGATAAAAGTTATTTGTTTTTCAATATTGAGAGACGAGATATGTAGTAAATGTTATTTATAAACCATTTAATAGTATTGACACGTGTCACCAATTTTTTTTTTTATCAATAATATCACTTGTTTCGTTAAATATTAACCCTAATGATTTAACTGACATTATTAAATAAAGTAAAGTACACAAATGCTCTCCTAATTATATAACGTTATTTTATTGAGTCCTCAAACTATTAAAAGTTATAAAATGGTCCTATAAATATAAGATATTATTTTGTTGAGTTATCTGACTATTAAAAGTTAAAAAACAGTCAATTGGCTATTCGTATATTTCAAACTCGTCATTTACCGTTATCAGGGTCATCTGAGTTGAATGTTAACTTGTTGGTTGTGATTTGATAACAAAAATTGGTCTTCCGACTATAGTGTGATGTTTTATTCAGTTAACAAGATAACATTCAGCTCAAACAGTCGACAATTTTTAACAAAAAAGAATGATTTTGGAATGTATAAATAGTTGAGTGACCATTTTAAAACTTTTAATAATCGAGAGATTCAACAAAATATTATCGTATAGTCAAGAGACTTTGTAACTTTTAATAGTCGAGGGACCCAATAAAATAATAACCTATAGTCAGGGACTATTTGTATATTTTATTCTCTAAATAATTAAGTGATTTGATTGATAAAATTAAAAATATTAATAATTAAATTAAATTCCTCATAATTATTTGGCCACATACATAATTTACCTTAACATTAAATAAAGAAACAAACTTAAAGGAACTAAAATGAAAATTAGACAAAATTAAACCAAATTCCTTATCATAAAGATTACAGCATTGATTAAGAAGTGAAGGTGGGGAGGTTCTATTGTGAGGCGGACTAATATACAACTAATATATGACATGACTGATTAAATAGGTGATCGGTTATAAAAGCTATCGGAAATGTTATATGTTTTCACCAGAAATGTTATTTGTGTTGGTAATAATAATGGTAATAACCGAGAATATTATCGTCGTATGTAAACTGCGCCAAAAAAATATTGACTTTAACATAACCGGTTAATTACTAGAAACATTATCAACCATAATAACATAACAGGTAGCGTTTATGTAACGTAATAGGTAGCGCATTTTTTAAGCTAATGATGCCTTAGAAATCCGACGACAACAAAATAGGTTAATTACTTAATTTGTTATCAATATTATCAACATATTACCGTTTACATTGTTAATTTGCCTATTACTTTAAGTAATAGGTTTCGAAATTATAAGAATCGATGCTTATATGACAATATTGATACTTGTACATTTACGCCTATTTTCATTATACTGGTAGAAACATTTACAGTGACATTTTAATTTACCTATTATTTTAAAGTAATAAGTTTAGAAATTCCACGTATCGATACTTCATACATGTGTATCGATACTTGATGTTTACACCTATTATCATTATACTGGTAGATTTTACCGTTTTCATTGTAAATTAACCTATTATTTTAAAGTAATAGGTTTCAAAATTATAAGTATCGATACTTTATAGAGGTGTATCGATACATTTTGCGTGCAAGTTGTTTGAGAAACATACTAGAATAAAAGTATCGATACCTATATAGACAATATTGATACTTGGTATTTATTTCTATTATCAATATACCAGTAGACTTTTACCGTTTACATTGTAAATTTACCTATTAATTTAAAGCAATTGGTTTCGAAATTTAAAGTATCTCTACTTTATACATGTGTATCAATACATTTTGAGTGCAAATTATTGAGAAACATACTGGACTAAAAGTATCGATACACATATGTAATGTACCGATACTTGGTATATACGCCTATTATCATTATATCGGTAAACTTTTACCCTTTACAATTTTAATTTACCTATTATTTTATAGTAATAGGTTTCGAAATTCCAAGTATCAATACTTTGTACATGTGTATCGATACTTTTGCGTGTATATTGTTTGAGAATCATACTAGAATAAAAGTATCGATATCTATATAAAAAATATTGATACTTTACGTTTACGCCTATTATCATTAAACCAATAGATTTTTATCGTTTACATTGTAAATTTACCTATTACTTTAAAGTAATAGGTTTCGAAATTCCAAGTACCAATACTATATATATATGTGTATCAATACTTTTTGCGTACAAATTGTTTGAGATGCATACTGGAATTAAAGTATCGATACTGATATAACAAAGTACTGATACGATGTGTTTATGCTATTATCATTATACCGGTAGACTTTTACAATTTACATTGTAAATTTATCTAAAAGTAATAGGTTTCGAAATTACAAGTATCGATACTTTATTGCGGACAAATTGTTTGAGAACCATACTAGAATAAAAGTATCGATACGGATAAAAAAAATGTATCGATACTTGGACATTTTCATACTTTGTATACATTGTTTCGAAATTATAAAAATTGATACTTCAATAATGTGTAATGATACATTTGACGTGTAAATTTTTTTACAAGCATAATGGAATAAAAGTTTCAATATCGGTACAAGAAGTATCCATACTTATAGAAAAAATGTATAAACTTATAATCAAAGTATCGATATGTCCAGTTAAATTTATTGCATTTGGTACTTATTAATTGTACACACCTAAATATGTCGTAACAAATAAATGTTGTACCCACTCTTAAACTACCACCACCTTATATAATTGAAAGCACCACATAATCATATTGTTTTATAAACCTCTATTTCAACTTCTAATATCAAAATTCAACATCAACTCCTTTTGGGACCACTAAACCATTATTTATGGATCATACTGCATCAGACGATGTTAAGTCAAGCGGGGAATGCCATGAAGTACTTATTGTTGATGAATATGAAATATTGGTTGATCAGCTCTTTTTTTTCACGTGAGGAAACTTGGGATTTTTACAAGGAATGCACACGAAAACATGGTTTTAGTGCACGTCAGGGAACAACACGCCTAGATAGGGAAGAGAATGTGACGACATAAGAACTTTGTTGTTCAAAAGAAGGGTTTCGGTCATCCAAAGTCAATAATGTTGATCGCCAACTTGCTCATACACTAGTCTCAAGAACCGGATGCAACACAAAAATCTTGGTGACAACAATAAATACAAACAATCAATGGGTTTTAAGTAAGTCATTTCAGGAACATAATCATGCATTGTGCACAACTGTTATGACACCATTTATGCGTTCAAATAGAGCTGTGAGTGAGGCTGATGTGGATGAGGCAACAATATTGGAATATGTTGGTGTTGGGACATCACAAGTAATGAATTATTTCACGCATCAAGTGAGGGTTTATCAGAATGTTAGATTTACACATAAAGACCTCTACAATGCACTTCAAAGAGGTAAAGCAAAGGAAATCATCAATGGGGATGTCAATGCACTAATTGCTTACTTTGATTATAAGAAACAAGATGATCTCGAGCTTTTTATGACATACTCAGTAGAAGAATCAGGGGCATTGCATAATCTTATTTGGGTTGATTCAACATCAAGATCAGATTACACGTGCTTCGGTGCTGTAATTACGTTCTACACAACGTACAAAGATAATTTGTATAGTCGACCAATTATGCCTATTTTCGGTGTCAATCATCATCATAGAACAATAGTATTTTGCTATTGCCAACATCGCTGATGAAACGTGTCAATCTTTCGAGTGGGTGCTGAATTTATTTTACAAGCCATGATGAATAAATCACCTCTTTCAGTTTTCACTGATGGGGATAGGGCAATGCAGAGGGCTATCAAATCTATTATCCCTTTTGCTAAGAACATATTATGTTCTTGGCATCTTTCTCGCATTGCACAAGCTAACATTGGTGATCTCAAATTTACAACAACATTTTCTACATGTATGACTTTCTTGTGGACAACAGAAGAATTTGATATTCAATGGCGTTAAATTGTTTCATAATTCAATGTCGAAAAGCATCCATGGGTGATTGACAAGGGAAATACTGAACACTTATGGGCACAAGCATAACTAACCTGCCATTTTATTGCCAATATTCGATCTACACAAAGGTACGAGTCTATGAATGATTCACTCGCGATTGCATTGAAAAGCACGAAGACATATTTAGATGTTGTTTGTGCAATTGAAGAATGAATTAGTAAAATTCGTATCAACGAGTTGAAAGCGAATTACTTAAATTCCCAGACAAAACCCTTCCATATCACAAAATTGATTGACCTAGAAAGCCATGCTACTGAAATTTATACGTGCGAATCATTTCGTTTGGTCCAAGAAAAACTTTAACGGGAGACCTTGTACCGGCTTCAAGAACAAATTCAGTCCTTATCAGATGAATGTCAAATTTTTATTTTGACAAAGTACAAAGAAAAGAACAAGAGATTTGAAATTAGTTTTGATGTCGGTATGAAAACCCTAACATGCTTGTGTAGAAAATTCGAGAGCGTAAGAATTCCATGTCGCCATCAACTTCACATTTTGAAGCATCCATAACATTTTTAATTGACCATCCATAACACTAATTATCAACATTTATTAATTTAACTCACCACAAAATTGTATAGAATGTAGGCAATCTTCTACTTCCCCGATATCTTCTTCGAATCGTTAACTAACACCCAGCCGACCAAATTAATAACCTAACAAAATTAATTACACAATTACAAAATATTCACTAGGTTTTAACAATTTATACTTTCTACTTACCAGACCTCTAACTCATGTCATAGGTTTTAAAGTTGCAACGTCAAATACTGTGGCAAATTGGTTTCTCAATTCGATTACAATTTCGCTGTATAATAAATTTGGATTAATATTTTGTCATGAAATATTTAAATTTCACTCAAAAAGAAATATATATATTACTTACCTCAATGGTAACCCACTATTCCATACATATTCACACATTCCACTTTCAAATGCAACAATTTCTTTTAATATTTTTACTTTTTCAACCTACAATTTTGATTACAAATATTAGTCACAACACAATAATAAAAACCAAATACAATTTCCTTTTATTCATCTTACCTTCTGCTTCTACTTTTTAGGTAAAGGACATTTTGAATCCAGATCAACATCGTTTACATTGTTCGGTGTCCCCATAACATTAACATCATTCCTCCTCACAGCATCCAACTTTTCTTCTTCATCTTTTTTAAATTCATCATATTTTTTCTCCACATAACCCTTCATATCTTTCATTTCAACCCTCATATTTTCCCCTTCATCGATTTTTTTTTCAACCTCTCCCATCATCCCCTTCAATTCACCCCTCAATTCCATTACTCCCCCACTTCCCCCCTTAAGGTTCTCATTCGCCTCTTCGATTCTGAATTGTCTTTGCAAACAATCAGAAATGGCTTTTTTAGCTCCGCAAACTCATACATCAAAAAGTCAAATTTACTTGCACTCTCCTGACCATAATCCCCCTACTACGTTCTCTTCTTCCTTCTCTTCTACCTTCTTTTATTCATTCTCTTCTCCCTCCTTGCCAATAACCTTCCAAAATAAATTACAATATTAATACAATTCTTTAAATTCTTAATACCCTTTCTTTCTTGCTCAGTCTTTCCAACTTCAATTTTACCATCACTCGAACTACTTCTTCCTTTCCCCGTGCACGGATGCGTGCAACTCCGGTTCTTTGGAATATCGACACACTTGCACAGTCAGACCAAAATTACATGTGTCAATTTGAAACCGGATTTGTCAATTTTCAACCTTATATGTTGTCATGTATCGATACATGTGTGTAAGGTATCGATACTTTATAGGCACTTTTATTGTAATTTTTTGAAATTACTAAAGTACCGATACTTGTATACATATACTTATAAATGTATCCATACATATATACTTTTAACCGATTTTCTTCACTTTTTTAAATATTACTATATATATCGATACTTCTGTGCAATGTATCGATACCTACCAATAAATAAAGTTTGTCGATTGTTAATTTTTTTAATATTTCTTCATGTTTTTCACCTATAACATTATTATTAGTCAATATTTCTGGTAGCACTTAACTGACTATGTTAAATATCTTATGAAATTTCTAGTCATGTTATTTCTTAACCGTATATTAATTTATCTTTTCTTAGACATCCGTGAAGGTGTTGGAAACTAATTATGTAAGTAGTAAAAAAAAGACTTTGTCAAAAGTCTCTATCAAGTCTAAGAGGAGAATATATTTTCCGTTTCACAAAACCGACACAATTACTTTACTTTATAAAAATAGAATCATAAATTCACCATTTTTATTATACGAATCTTCCTCAAAAAGATGAGACCAATTAGGGATTAGCACGTGTTAATGAAGAAGAAGCTTGGAAAATGTGCCTAAATCTTCTTCCCCATCTCTCCATATTTATCTCCAAAACCCTGGCAAGTAACTAACCAACCAAAAAAAACGTAACAAATTAAACACACAACGTTCAATTTCAAGTATTTCCTACGGTGTTAGCTGAACCATAGAAAAAGGAAAAGGAGGCAGAAGAAAAGAGGAAGGAGAAAGAGAGACTCGAGGAGGAGGCGTGTTAGTGGCGTGGTCGACGGCGGAGATGGAGGACGATACAGCTACTTACGGCTGCGTCATGTTCCTCCCAGATAAGCCTTCTTCTCCGACGCTTCAAATCTTAGCCTTCGAGACGGCCAAAAACATGTCACGCCTCGTTGCCTTGTATAAATCTCTCACCGACGAGGAATTCTCCAAGCTGCGGTACGGCACCGTGAAGTCCGCTGGCGTTGAGTTCTTGAACTCCACCAATGAAACTTATCTCCTCGGCCTTGCGTGTAAAGAGAAGCTCGAGGATCTCCATAGGATCGCCGCCGTTGTTTCGCGTTTGAGTAAACGCTGCGTCAATGAAGAACTCACCAGATTCGAAGCCGCTTACCAGAACATGATGAAACAGGGGGTCATTGATATCAGCAACCTCGATTTTAATTCCAAGAATGCCGGGAAAATCATCGAGAAGATGGAGAAATATGCTAACGTCACGTCTCTGTTATACACCTCTTTGGCTGCCCTCGACGAGTTGGAATTATCGGAGAAAAGAATACAGAGGTCGAAGTCTCCGAGAAACTCGTCGGATAAGAAGAACATCGAAAACATCAACGATAAAATCTCTTTCCAGAGGAAACAGATTCGACATTTCAAACACGTTTCCCTGTGGAACAAAAAAATCGACAAGATCGTAGCGCTAATGGCACGAATCATCTGCACTGTTTACGCGAGGATCTGTGTCGTTTTCGGAATCTATCTTCCGAGCCTTCTGGCCACCGTTACCACCGCCGCTGCCAAAAGAGGTTCTTCCATCAAGCGCCTCTGTGTTTCGCACTCGAAAGGTTTCCACATGAAGATCTATCCAGAGGCGAATCTTGTAAAAGAAGAGGATAAAATAAAAAAGATCTCCAAATCGGGTCCGATTCTCATAGCATCCAAGATGAAGCGAGGTGCAGCCCGTTTCATAAGCAGCGAACTATCGCCTGAATCGAAAGGCCTAGGGTTCCTATTCCCCGGTTTCACAACGACCAACAACAAAGCCTCCAACATTAAAACCAACGTAAACCAAAAGCTGATACAATCGGCTCCGGAAAACACCGTCGGAGCAGCAGGGCTGGCGTTTGGCTACGCGAACATAATCATCAAGGCGGAGAATTACTTCCGCTCGATGACGATCATCACGGACGCCGAACGCAAGGACATGTTCGATATGTTACCGATAAACCTGAAACAAACGCTGAGAGTGAAGCTGAGGGGACAATGTCACAAGGATGAGCGCGAACGCCGGGGGTTGGCAGAATGGTGGAAAGAGGCGTTGGCGGAAATAATAGGGCGGTTGGCTCCGGTGGCGCACGATACACTAAGGTGGCAGCAAGAGAGGAACTTGGAGCAGCAAACATTGGTAGCGAAGCGGACGGTTCTGTTGTTCCCACGCTGCATTTCTCCAACTTGGAGAAAACGGAGGCTGCGATCGTTGAGATGTTGGTAGGGTTGAGTTGTATATATAGGCACGAGAATCGGCGGGAGAGGAATGATGTTGGTACGTGGTGATGATGATGATGATGATTTGGCTTACTTTCAAGTAAGCTTCCATTAATTTCATTATTTTTCCTGAGATTAAGTTGTTTGACTTATTGATTGTTTCTTTTATAAATGTTCATTTTTGAAGTGGAAAATAATCATTGAACGAGGCAATTTATAGGCTTAAATACACCTTTTCCCTGAACTATATTTTTTTACTGATTTACCCCCTTAAAGTATTCTCGTGTGGTTCTATTTTGATTAGTCGATTATTTTTATTTTTAAAATCATCACTAAATTTAAATTTTTATTTTATTTTAGTCACCCAATTCGATTAAATTTATTTTTTTAATTTAAAATATATAATAATTCATATATATCATATATTGTTTTACTCAACACATAAATTTAATGTATAATAAATAAATTCTTCCAATCAAAAGAAACCAATTGAGGCTTGAACGTTACTTAATATTTTTGGTTTTGAAGAAAAGCAGTATAATACCCTAGGCTGAATTTCTACTCGAGTTTAAAAGCAAACCAAAACCGTGCAAATTCGCTATCTAATAATTAGAAGAAAAGTTCGTTACATTATGATGTAATTTGCCCACGTACAGTTCTATTCGGAGGAAAATACTTAAGTTTAGTGATGATTCTGAAAACAAAAATAGCTGACTGATCAAAATAGAACTGTACGAATAGTTGAGTGATTAAATATGTAATTTGTTCACGTATTTTTTAAGGGAGTTAACAAATTGAGGCAAATGAGGTAACATTTAAACTTTAAGAGGTAAAACATTCCGGAAAATACTTTAAGAGACAACTCGATAAAAACGATATAGTTTAGAGGGGAAAGGTGTATTTAAGCCCAATTTTTATAATATGATTTTTTTGGGATCACACGCCAAACCTTCAGCTTCTGTTGTTGTTGGTTTAGGCTAAAATTTGCTTCGTGGGAATATTAAACTCATTTTGGGTCAGAAACTTGCCCCAAGTAAACCAACAGGAGGCGAGTTAGTGAGTCGATTACATTTAGAAAAGATTAAAGTAATCCCCTAATGCCCAACGTAATTCTCGGAAAGGACGACTCTCTCAAGTTTCTTTTTGGATAGGGTTTGAGCTTGGGTTCAATGTGGATTTGGATAAAATCCATTTTGGTTGTATGCTCGAGTTTTGTTCTTCTCTCAAGTTTCTTTTTGGATAGGGTTTGAGCTTGGGTTCAATGTGGATTTGGATAAAATCCATTTTGGTTGTATGCTCGAGTTTTGTTCTGGTTAAGTCTGGGTTTAAACCCTGGTCAAGATTAGGTTGGACAATAATGGATATAGGCATACTTGGCCCAATAGATTAGGCAGATAAAAAAATAACTAATTAAGCCATCTCTAAAATTAATTTGAGATCTACGACAAATGTTATTATGCAGGGAAAACTCGTCACGCCTACATGACGAGTTGTCCTGAAAATATTTTTTTTATTTAAACTCATCATGTCAAAGGACGAGTTCCAATAAAATATAATTTTTTATTAGACTTTGTCATATCAGAGTGAAAATTTTCAATAAAAGAATATATTTTATTGGAATTCATTACTTTGACGTGATGAGGTTCAAGTCACTATAACAAATGTCATAGTTACCAAAATAAAATATATGGTGTCGTATTTGGCTAAATAATTAGCGGTCAATGGTATTGGGCTAAAATTACCTAGAAGGTTAGGCTAATGGGCTTGGGTCAGCAAAAGTTTGGCCTCGAATTGGCCCGGACGTAGATGAGTACTTACAATAACGTTCTTCTTTTTTATTTTTGGAAAATAAGAATAGAACAAAGAATAAAAAAACAACAAACTTCATCCAGTTTCAAGTTTGATCTTGCGATTTCCTTATCATATGATGAGGAATGATTATGAAAAGTTGATTCGCTCATTTGTATTTGAGGATGCAAGTCTTAGAGATGGTTACGGATATCAATTTAACTCGAATTCGATGAGTTTCAATCGATCGGATTTGATAAGGTCGATTTTTTTTAAAAAAAATCGTGTTTGGATTAGGTTGGATCGGGTTTTTAAAGGGGTGAGGTTGGGTTCAAGCAGAGGGTGAAAAACCTTCAACCCAATCAGAGGATAATAATGTAATTTCTTTAAAAAAATATTATTATTTATTAAATCTTTATTTTATACCGGGTCAGATTGGGTCGGGACGAATTTATATTCTAAAAATTCAAGTTGGGTCACAGTTAAGTGAAGAATATATAATTTTCGGGTCGGATCAGATCAGATAGAGAATATAAAATTTTAAAATCAAGACGGATTCGATGGAGAACACATATTTTCAGATCAAGTCAAGATGACCTAAAACATGACCCGTTGCCATCTCTAAAAATGGTGATTTGCTTTTTTACACTCGACGAGGGAGGACTACGAAGATAATCGACTCCTTCACACTCGAGGAGACATGACTTTGACGATGATCGAATTTTTCACACCCGAATAGATAATACTTGAGGATGATATGCTCCTTCACACGTGATGATGCACAATTTTGAGACAATGATATGCATTTTCGCCCCAAAAACGTATGAATTTGAAGATGATGGTTCTTTCCTTTTTCATTCAAGGAGGTAAGAATTTGAGGATGTATATTCCTTCATACACTATGAGACAGAATCGTGAGACGATGATTTGTTCTTTCATATTTGAGAATGCATAATTTAAAGACGATTCGTGCATTCGTCCTCAAAGAGGCACGATCCGAAGACGATGACTCGTTCATTGCACCCAACGAGGTACGATTATGAAGATGATGGCATACACTTAAATTGCTTCTCCAACATGAAGTACTGAAACTTTAAAAAGGAAATCACACATCCAACTTGAAGTGATAAGATGTTTTGCTCTTTAACTTGAAGAATTGAGAGTTTAAAAATGAAAATTGCGTTTTTAATTTGAAGCAGTACATTTTTTAAAAGAAAATCGTTCCTCTAACTTGAAACAATGAAAAGCGAAATGATCATTTGTTGATAATTTCATCACGTACAGAAAATCTAACATCATATGTGACGATTAACACTGACCAAATTTGGAGGATAATAGTTAAGGAATATTTTTTCTATTAATTGTTTAAGATGTATCTACTCAAACTTAGGATCTCAAAAGATAATATCACATTTTAATCACTAACGTCACTCGATTAGTAAATTTATAAATAAATTGGTTTAAAAATAAAATATATATATGCTAGAGTTATTACTTTTTACATTTAAAAAACTACCATGTCGACCTCGCGAACAACAGCTTCAGTGGCCGAATCCCATGGCTGGGGAGCCTACCAAATATTCAAGTATTGAGCTTACAGTATAATCAGCTGGTTAATTATGGACCAAGTGGCATGGATTTCCTAAACATCTTTCGCAAATTCTACCCAACTTCAAGTGTTTTCGGTAGCCGGGAAACCGGCTTACCGGGTAGGCTTCCGCCTTCCATAGGCAACCTCTCAAGACATCTTTCATTGTTGGTGATGAACAACTTTTTCCAAGGAAACTTACCCGGAGAAATAAGCAATTTGGTGAACGTAACCCTGATAGCTTTCGAACACAATTCCTTAATCGGAACCATTACACCTGCAATAGGAACTTTGCCAAACTTGCAGTACATTTTCATACATGGAAACCGATTCTCGGGAACGATACAAGAGTCTCAGAAACTTGACATACTTGGCTGAAGTTCATCTAAGCAACAATCTTTTGGAAGGGACCATTCCTTCAAGCCTGGGAAACTGCTAGGGTCTTCAGTTGCTAGACCTGTCATTTAACTTGCTTAACTGTACCATACCAAGTGACATATTCGGAATCGCAACTTTCAGTAAGGTCTTGAACCTCTCTTTCAATTCTTTAACTGGATTTGTTCCTTCTGAAATCGGTAATCTAAATATGATTCAAGCGATCGACTTCTCGAGCAACGAATTATCGGGGGACATACCTTTCACCATTGGAGATTGCTCATGCCTTTTGTATTTAGATATGTCTAGAAATTCTTTTCAGCATCCCATACCAAATTCTCTAGACAAACTGAAATGGATAGAGTATATCGACCTCTCTTCGAACAAGCTCGCCGGTAACATCCCGGCTTCTTTGGAATCTTTAAGGTTCTTGCGAGTTTTAAACCTGTCCAGAAACCAACTATCAGGGGAGGTTCCAAAAGCATGGATTTCGGGAACTTGACATCCGTTTTCCTTTCCGAAATTCTCGAGCTTTGTTGCGGAGTACCCGGTTTAGGACTACCGAAATGTGATTCTCCTGGAAAAAGTCCTGTGGCTCGAGGTTGAGAACTGTACTAATAGCCTCGTTTGCATTCATCATTGCTTTCGTGCTAGTCTATTGGTTTGTAACTAGAAAGAAAGATCCAGGCCTTCGTCAGGTTAAAGAGGAAGCTGATTCACCGGAGATATATCCGATGTATAGGCAACACTATCTTAAATGAGCTACCGGTAATTTCAGGTCGGAGTATTTGATTGGAGAGGGCAGTTTCGGATCAGTTTACTGTTAAAAGTCCAAAGGTTGGCAATTAATTTTGAAAATGGTTTTCAAAGTTTGGTAAATGTTTATTTGAAAATGATTTTCAAAGTTTAGTAAATGTTTCTTTGAAAAAATGGTTTTCAAAGTTTGGTAAATTTTGTAGATGTTTGTTGAAAATAGGAATGGGTAAATTCAATTTAATCATTGCACTGTAGGGTATTTTCAAAGATTAGTCCTTAAGTTTCAACTATAAATACCCTAGCTCATTTAGCTTCAAAATCATCCCAAAAATTATTTCTTTCTCCCAATACTAGAGAGCTTTCTTGTGAGTAGTAAGTGTTTTATAAACACCTGTAAATTTTCTCTCTTAGTAAAAGATCTGCAGCAGTCTGGAGACGTAAGCACAATTGGCTGAACTCCGTTATCAATTTCGGGTATTATTTTTCCGCTTTTATTTCGCATTCTCACTAATCTGGTTATAAGGGAAATTACTCGTTCTCGTTTATTTCCCAACAACTGGTATCAGAGCTTTTGGTTGTGAATTTTGTCAATTTTTTGGGAGGTTACTATTTATTACTATTCACGTGAATAATAAATTTCATGAATAGTAAAAATTTTGTCGGCGATACGAGTTTGTCGACGGAGGTGTTATAATACACGGTGGTTCGCATAAATTGTCAAAAACGATCCGAAGAAGCCATATTTGAGTGGGAACGATGGCTGTATACGAAAGGGAAGGTGAAAATTGAAAAGTTCAATGGTGCGGACTTTGGCTTTTGGAAGATACAGATCGAAGATTTTTTGTACCAGAAAAATCTATATCAACCTCTCTCAGGAAAGCAACCAGAGGGCATGAAGAATGAAGACTGGGATCTTCTCGACAGACAAGCCCTCGGAGTTATCCGACTGACGTTATCCCGCAATGTTGCTTTCAACATAGCAAAGGAAAAGACCATGGCGGGTCTTATGGCGGCTCTCTCCAGTATGTATGAGAAGCCATCAGCCTCAAACAAAGTGCACTTGATGAGACGATTATTCAATTTTGCGGATGACGGAAGGGGCATCGATGGCACAACACCTAAATGAACTCAACACAATCACAACCCAGTTGAGTTCAGTGGAAATTGAATTCGATGATGAAGTTCGAGCTTTAATTCTCTTATCATCTCTACCAGACAGTTGGAATGCTAATGTTACAGCAGTTAGCAGCTCGTCGGGAAAATAGTAAATTGAAATTCGACGATGTTCGGGATCTGGTACTGAGCGAAGAAATTCGACGGAGATAATCGGGTGAAGCATCAACCTCCTCAGCCTTGCACAGGGAGTCTAGAGGGAGAACTTCATAAAGAAATTTAAATCGTGGCAGATCGAAATCCAGAAGGGGCAAATCAAGAACAGGAAAGAAAGATTTTACATGTTATAATTGTGGCAAGAAGGGTCACTTTAAAAGAGATTGTCGAGCACTGAAGAAAGATATCGGTGCATAGGAATCTGCCAACATGACAGAGGAGATAGGTGATGCCATGATTCTAAGCTTCAACACTCCGATTGAATCATGGATCTTGGATTCAGGGACATCTTTCCACTCCACCCCATGTCGAGAAATCATGGAGAACTATGTCAGTGGTGATTTTGGGAAGGTTCATCTAGCCGATGATGAAACCTTGAAGATCATCGGAAAAGGAGACATCCGATTAAAGTTGCCAAATCAGACCACCTGGACGCTGAAAGGAGTGAGACATATTCATGGCCTCAAAAGAAATTTGATTTCTGTAGGACAGCTTGATGGTGAAGGATTTAGCACAACCTTTTCAGGCTGTGAATGGAAGATTACCAAAGGAGCACTCGTCATTGCTCGTGGTAAGAAAACTGGTACTCTCTATATAACCTCAAATTTAGAGAATATCATTACAGTAGCAGATGCTGATGGAAAATCAAACCCATGGCACCAAAGGCTTGGCCATATGAGCGAGAAAAGGATGAAGACACTTTTATCAAAAGGGAAACTGCCGGATCTAAAGAATGTAGATGTCGAACTATGCGAGGATTGCATCTTTGGCAAACAAAAGAAAGTCAGCTTTGCAAAGATTGGTAAGACACCCAAGGCTGAAAAGTTAGACTTGGTTCATACTGATGTATGGGAACTATCTCCAATTCCATCTCTTGTAGGTTCATTATATTATGTCACCTTCATCGATGATTCTACAAGGAAGGTGTGGGTTTATTTTCTGAAGAAGAAATCAGAAGTCTTTGATACCTTCAGAAAATGGAAGGCCATGGTGGAAAATGAGACTAGTCTGAAAGTTAAGCGGTTGAGGTCTGATAATGGAGGAGAGTACAAAAATCGTAGATTCAGAGAATTTTGCGCAAACAATGGGATCAAGATGGAGACAACAGTTCCCATGACACCGCAACAGAATGCCGTAGCAGAGCGCATGAACAGAACTCTGAAAACGTGCCGAAGCATGAGGATACATGCCGGATTGCCCAATTTCTATGGGCTGAAGCTATCAAACTGCAGCTTACCTGATCAACCGTGGGCCCTCAGTTCCTTTGGATAGCAGAATACCAGAGGAAGTTTGGAGCAAGAAATAAATAAATCTTTCATACTTTAGAGTGTTTGGTTGTATTTCTTATGTACACATAAACTCTGCTGAAAGAAGTAAACTTGATGCAAAGTCCAACAAATGTGTCTTTGTTGGTTATGGTGGTGATGAGTTCGACTACCGGTTTTGGGACTACGAAAATCGGAAGATCATCAGAAGCAGAGATGTCATTTTCAATAAGAATGTGATGTTCAAAGACAGATCAATCATAGAATCAAGTAGCTCAAACATCGAAGCTGAAACAAAGGAATTTGTTTAGTTCGAGGAGATTTCTGGAAATGATGTTCAAATCAGTCCTGAAGCAGTTCAAGAAGAACCAGGCACACCGGAACTAAGACGCTCCTCCAGAATTCCTAAACCAACCCAACGATATTCTCCTTCTTTGCACTACTTGTTGCTGACTGACAATTGTGAACCAGAGTGCTATGATGAAGCAATGCAAGTGGAGGATTCAATCAAGTGAGAGTCTTCCATGAAAGATGAGATGGACTCGCTTATGTCAAATCAAACGTGGGAATTAACTGAATTACCACCAGGAAAGAAAGCGCTCCACAACAAGTGGATTTACAGGATCAAAGAAGAACATGATGGGAGCAAACGCTACAAAGCAAGATTGGTTGTCAAAGGTTTTCAGCAAAAAGAAGGTATTGACTACAATGAAATTTTCTCCAGTCGTAAAACTGTCCACAATTAGACTGGTGTTGAAAATTATAGCTACAGAGAATTTACATCTTGAGCAGTTAGACGTAAAGACAGCTTTCCTTCATGGTGATTTGGAGGAAGAAATCTATATGAGGCAGCCAGAAGGCTTCATAGAGGCAGGCAAGAAAAACCTGGTATGCAAGTTGAAGAAGAGCTTGTATGGTTTAAAACAAGCTCCTAGACAGTGGTACAAGAAGTTCGATAGCTTCATGGGTAGCAGTGGTTTTACCAAATGCCAAGCAGATCATTGTTGCTACATCAAAAGGTTCGACAATAGCTTCATTATTTTATTGTTGTACGTTGATGACATGCTCGTTGCAGGCTCAAACATGCAAAGAGATTATACACTTGAAGCAAAAATTATCGAAGCAGTTTGCTATGAAGGATCTGGGTGCTGCAAAGCAGATTCTTGGGATGAGGATCAAGAGAGACACAAAGTCGGGGACTTTGATGTTATCACAGACTGAGTACATCAACAAAGTACTCTCCAGGTTCAACATGCAAGATGTTAAACCAGTAAGTACACCTTTAGGTGTTCATTTTAGACTCTCCAAATAACAGTCACCAAAGACAGAGGAAGAACGTGCACACATGGTAAAGGTTTCGTATGCCTCAGCAATTGAAAGTCTGATGTATGCCATGGTATGTACCAGACCAGATATTGCTCATGCAGTGGGAGCTGTTAGCAGGTACATGAATAATCCGGGCAAGGTACACTAGGAAGCAGTCAAATGGATCCTCAGATATCTGCGAGGTACCAAAAACAAAGCACTTTGTTTCAAAGGTGGAGATACAAAATTGACATGCTATGTAGATACTTACTTAGCTGGAAATATTGACATCAGAATGAGCACTACAAGGTATGTCTATACTCTAAGAGGAACTGCAGTGAGTTGGGTTTCTCAACTACAGAAGATAGTTGCTCTCTCCACAACTGAAAGTAGAATATGTCGCTGTTACGGAAGCTAGCAAGGAGATGGTTTGGCTCCAAAGTTTCTTGGAAGAGTTAGGCAAGAAACAAGAAAACAATGTCTTGTATTGCGACAATCAAAGTGTTATCCATCTAGCAAAGAATCCGTCTTTTCATTTGAGGACAAAGCACATACAATTGCGATATCATTTTATCCGGTCTCTTCTGGAAGATGAGATTTTGAAACTTGAAAAGATCAGTGGAGCTCAAATCCGGCAGACATGTTGACAAAGACGGTGACCACGGACAAACTGAAGTTGTGTTCAGCTTCAGTTGGCATGCAAGAATAACAAGACTAGAAATGCTGCTGCATCGATCGAGGTGTTGAAGACAGATTAAAATCAGTCTTCAAGTGGGAGATTATTAAAGTCCAAAGGTTGGCAACCAACTTTGAAAATGGTTTTCAAAGTTTGGTAAATGTTTCTTTGAAAATGGTTTTCAAAGTTTGGTAAATATTTCTTTGAAAAATGTTTTTCCAAATTTGGTAAAGTTTGGTAGATGTTTGTTGAAAATAGGAATGGGTAAATTCACTTTAGTCATTGCACTGTAGGATATTTTCAAAGATTAGTCCCTAAGTTTCAACTATAAATACCCTAGCTCATTTAGCTTCAAAACCATCCCAAAAATCATTTCTTTCTCCCAATACTAGAGAGTTTTCTTGTGAGTAGTAAGTGTTTTGTAAACACCTGTAAATTTTCTCTCTTAGTAAAAGATCTGCAGCAGTCCGGAGACGTAAGCACAATTGGCTGAACTACTTTATCAATTTCGGGTATTATTTTTTCGCATTTATTTCGCATTCTCACTAATCTGGTTATAAGGGAAATTACTCGTTCTCGTTTATTTTCCAATATTTACAAGGGTGTTTTCAATGATGGAAGTTTGGCAGCTATCAGGGTCTTCAAAATGGGAATACAGGGAGCTTCCAAGAGCTTTCTAGCTGAATGCGAAGCTCTTCGGACTATCCGACATCGAAACCTCGTTAAGATCATAAGTGTATGTTCGGCTGGCGATTTCAAGGCACTAGTACTTAAGTTCATGCCAAATGGGAACTTGGAACAGTTACTTCACCCAAGAAGTAAGGACTGTTGAGGTTGTAAAAGCTATCTACATGAACCAGAGATTGCAGATAGCACAAGATGTTGCATCAGCACTGGAGTATCTGCATCATTATTGCGAAACACCGGTCGTGCACTGCGATCTCAAGCCGAGTAACATTCTCCTGGACGAAGAAATGTCGGCACATGTCACCGATTTCGGACTCGCAAGAACCCTACTAAAAAACTCACCCAATGCTCATCTTAGTAGCTCCTTGGACTAAAGGTTCAATTGGCTACATGGCTCCAGGTAATGTTTCTTATACTATTTTACATTTTTGTACTGATTTTATGTTTTGCTTTAAGTCATCCGATTCCGATAGCCGATCATATTGCGCGATGCAGAATACGGCATGGGTGCTGGTGTGTCAACACGAGGCGATGTCTACAGTTTCAGCATAGTGATCCTTGAGATGTTTACTAGGAAAAGGCCCGTGGACTATATGTGCAGTGGAGATATGAATTTGCAAAAATGGGTTTGGACGCATCTTCCTGGTAATTTCCACGATATAGTCGACCGTGAACTTATGCAAAAAGAACGGCAGCCGGCGGTGGCGGCATATGTTGACGGCATCGGCAGTATGCTGAAAATCGGATTGATGTGTGCAAGGAAATCGCCTGATGAACGACCAACCATGAGAGAGGTCTCTGTGATGATAAAAAATGTCAAGGCTAGCTTATCAGGATAACATATTATAATTATAGTGCTTCGGATTTGTATGAATCATCAAAAGCAAACGATGTTAACTAATGCTAACCTTAATTGTATTTTTTCTTTTATTTTTAAATAATATATTTAAATGATTAATCAATATACTATGATTAGCATCCAATCAATCAATTTTAAAAACTTAAAGAAAATAACTTTTACATTTTTATATTATTCATCCAAGTTGACTTAAGATTCAATATCCTTTTTCTTTTGGAACCCTTCATAGCAGGTATTCAATGATCAAGGGTTTCGAGATATATAGTTCAACATTTGTAAATATAAACATCAAATTTGAAGTCAAGGAAAAAAATCAGAAATCATCGATACAATTTTCAATAGTGTATCATAAAATTCTAAATTACTGCCTACGTCCCACTAAATTGTCTCTTATTTTTTTTAAAAGTCATATTTTTAACTTTAAAATAATATTTAAATATTAAAAGATTAATTTTTTTATAAAATATATATTTCCAAAACAACTTGATTGAATGTTTTTAAAATATATTTTTTATATTTTTATCAAATAATAAATTTTTATCAATAATAAATTTTAAATAATAATTAGTCGGTCAATAGATTGGATACCAGAGATTAATTCAAACAAATTTGACAAAAAAAATTCAAGAAAGAACAATTTAAGTGGGGCGGAGGAGTATATTATTTGAAAAATTAGATAAAAATATTTTTGAATGCCATCATTAAGGCAGTATGAATAATCTCCAATTCTCCATTGCCTATGGAATCTATCATTGAAAGATAAAAGAATTACGCTGTTTCTAAATGTGCCAAATTAAAATACCAAACAGATGCTTCCAGATCATGCTGGCCGAGGGGCAGTCCCTGAAGACATGGATAATGGTCTCTTCGTAGCTTCCACATGAAGGACAAAGATGATCCGAAGTCAGGCCCCGTCTCGCCCGCTCAGAATTGGTCATCATATGTTGGTATAGGAGAAACCAGAGGAATTGCTTCACTCTTTTGAGGGTCAAGTTATATGATCAACTATGACCCTTAACCCTTCTTGCTAAGATTAAAATTGCAATATCAGATTTCAAAAAATTACATGCCTAAATTAAACAATTTACAAACCAGAAGAATTAATGTAAAAAGATTCACTTATGTTGAGAAACTGGTGAAACTATAAAGTATTTGATGAGATATTGTCAATTAGGTCCTTATTTTGAAAAGTACTTTTAGTTTGGGTGCGAACTTTATTCGGGTTTGGCATTATTTTTGAAAAGTGGTGTTACAAAGTATTTTAAAATTTTAAGTTTAAGATTTTAGTGTTTGGTATTGTTATCCAAAAGTGCTTTTAAGAAGATAAAGTGTTCCTTTTAAACATTATATTCTAAATTAAAAATATATCAAATTAAATCGTAAAAAGTATAAATGACAAATATAATTATAATAAAAATATAAAATAAATTTAAAAGCTTTTTCCTAGGTAAAGCATAATTAGTATATAATTAATACATAATTTATAAATACAATGAAATTTAAAAAAGTTATGGGCAAAGAAGTGGAGCTCATGCATCAAAGTAAGGGTAAAAGCATAAATTTGTTTCTAAACATAAATTTTTATTGGAAAACCTAGAAAACCCAGCTTTAACAGTTGGTTTAAAATCGTTGTTTTTAACGTACTTGTACCTTTAAATTTTATCCATTTGGTAATGATTTTGTTTTCAAACCTGATTTTTAGACCAAAATTACGTTTAGACAACATTATCAAACCGACCCTTAACCTAAAAAGATTAGGTCGGATTAGAAGCTCTAAAACCCGAGTTGAATCACATATAAGTAGAGTAATTTAATTTTTACAGCAATGGAATCATTATGGTTGATTCGACAAAAGTCCAAGCTATCCACCCAATTCACATGTTACCTGGTCAAAGTAGAGTATTGAGGCTGCTTCAAATGGGCCGAACATAATGTTTAAACATGCACTGATTTGTGCAAAAAGTTTTGGACTAGGGTTTTTTATAAAATCAAATATTTTTGATTTATTGATCAATTAATTAAGATCGGATATTATAAAGATAAGAATTATCCTTTCAACTCAATTTATACTATTTATAATTGTTATGATTAGAATCTTCAACTTTACTTAATAAATCTAATGTTCTATCTCATTAGATTAACTTGTTGGAAGTGGCCTAATGCTTTTATTTGTCGACAAGAAACACTAATTGGCAGCACCAGAATTAGCACAAATTTTTAAAACGAGAAGCACGTGCTGAAAATTGTGAGAAGGGCCCAGCAAACCATTGTACAAAAAGGTCCCTTAGTGCTCCAACTGTTTGCAATATCGGGTAAAAGGTTCAAACTTTGGGCGACTTTTGTTTACTGTTTCCCCTAAGATTCTCATTATATACAGAGCTGTATATCCAAGATAGGGATCAAGTCTCAGCTTCGGTTCTGATCTCAGACAGTGTGTCATCATGTCGTCTGCCCGCCCCAGGTTAAATTATCACCATCACCGAAAAGCTGCTGCTTCTTTTTTAGTTTAATAGGGAATAGAATATTGTATGCTTCTAGTGCAAGTTGATGTGCTGATTAAACTAATGAGAGCACTAATTTATTTTTTTAAAATAAAAAAACACTTCTTTTGCTTTCTTAAAGTAAAAAAAAGGGTTTGAATGTTGAAACCTTCTCCAGCCCTTATCTTCAAGCATGTTTCAAAGCACGCAAGAAAGGTTAAAGCTTTAAATATTTCAACAGTGGCTCGCTTCTGCAACACAATAGTATTTTTCAGATAGTTGCCATTAAATATGTAGTATATTAGTTGAGCCTCCTTGCCCAGAATGGTTGGCATTTATTCATCAACTTGTATAACAATATCCTTCGAATTTAAATTTTGAGGTATATTTGGCGCAGCACATGATGGTTGTCGGGACATGTTAATCATGATGGCATGGATTGGAGAAGCATAAAAGAAGAATGTTTGAGAATCAGATCAATTCGTTGGCTTTTCGATTATTGAGAGTTTGATTTTCAAAGCATTTCATTGTTTGCCATTTATTTTTTTTATAATCATCGGTATCTAATCTATTAATCAACTAATTTAGATCATATATTACAAAGTCAATGACGACTTCCAATTCAGTTTACTCCATATACAATCGTCAAGATTCGAATCTTTATTCTCACTTAATAGATCTGATGTATCCCCTAAATTAATTATTGGTATATTTACATAATTTATTATACCAATTCACGGCTCCTTCCATTGAAATTTGGGCTCTTCTAAATAGAGATAAGATTGGTCCTCCATATTATAAGCACATTTAGGCTACTTTATGAATAAAAAAATCATATATTTATGTTTTCCATTTTTTTCATGTTTAAAATGTAAATTCATATGATCTATAGAAATCAATAAAAGATCTCCTAAAACACCAGCAATAGTGCTCTAAAAGATATTATTGGGTGACAACTCACCTCATTTATTATTATTTGATAGAATTTTTTTTCATGATGATAGGGAGGGAAAGATATATAAATTTGAATTTAAAATCTAATACTAATTTGATAATAATATTTATCAATATATCACCGGTTAGATCGATATTTAATTAAAATTTATTTATTATAGCGAAGAATAATTTTGAATCATATTTTGGTGGTTAGAATGTTATTTTTCATAGAAGTTATGAGTTCAAACAATATTTTACGAGTATATGCGATTTATGAATAATTTTTTTAAATATATATTACTTTATAATAGTTATAAATTATTAAAAATAATTATATAATTATATTTAATGGAAGTTAATGATATCATTTAATTAGTTTGTCAGCTTCAAAAAGTTGACATTTGTAATATCAAAGAGATAACATGTTGATTTAAGATTTGTATAAAGAGAATTACTTTCAGTCAATTTGAAATTCATATCGATTCACTCCGAGAAAAAAAAGAACAAATATATTTTAAGAAGATACAAAAAATATATTTGTTTTGCACATTTATGAATTGTTATAATTTTTTAATAATAAATATAACTATATTTGTGCCAGCGAATTTTGGCACAAATAGTTGGGAATTATAAATTTGAACTTGTAAGGCTAAGCTCAAATCTTATCATTGTCTCTCTTGACAGGTAATCTATAAATTTCTATGTAAATCCCAATTGGATCTTAGGTATACTCTGACCCTAGACTGGAGGAGTCACCCCTTACCTAAACTTTCTTGTAAAAAAAATATAATTATATTAATAGTAATATTGTTATGACAAAATCGAATTAGGACCAGTTTGGCATAGCTTTCGAAAAGTGATTTTTTTAAAAGTGTTGTATAAACGAACTTGTAAAATTGTTGTACAAAACTGCAGTTTAAAATTTAATTGTTTGGGATTGTTTTTAAAAAAATGATTTTGAAAAGATAAAATGTCCATTATAGACATTATATTCTAAATTAAAAATATAACATTTAAGCTATATTTACTGTTATATACTAATCATATCAATTTAAACTATAATAAGTTCAAATTTTTTATTATATATGAATTATATCCATTTGAATTATAACAAAAATATAAAAAAATACAAATAAAAAATATAATTATAATACAAATATATTTTATATAAGGCTTAATACCAAAATAAGAGCTCAAACTATACTTCAATTCTCGATTAGGTGCCTAAACTATTTTTTGATCCATCCAAGTGTCTAAAGTTGCAAACGTTATCATTTTAGGTGTCTGAGCCATCAACGACGTTAATTTTCTCGTTAAGTGACACGTGCCACAATATGATGTTTTAAAAAGTTTTCTTATAAATTAGGGTTAATTACACGAATGATTACTTATGTTTGTGTTTTGTCTACTTTTGGTAACTGTTTCAAAAAATAATAAGATATGGTCACTTTCATTTTTATTTAATTAAGATATGGTCACTTTTGTTTTTATTTAATTAAGATGTGGTCATCATGGGTTAGCTGTTGTTAACAATTAATAGAATATGTGGCGTGATTGCTATTATAATCA